GCTGGGATTCTGGTGAGAAAGAGACCAGCGCCTTGCGGTACTGTGTGGGCCACCACCACCTAAACAGCACTGTGTGGTGAGGCCCGGGAAGGCAGTAGCTCAGCTGATATTTGATGTCTGTGGTCACCGGCATGGGTTCCACTTTTTTTGCTAATTTTTAAGCCATTTGGATGAAACCACATTTCTACATCAGGACCGAGAGCCATGTCCATTTATCCACAAGACTCATCCCTTCTCCGAGGTGGACACCGTGGTGTGTGACTCCCTTCCTAAGCGCACCATCTGTGTGGAATGTGTCCTGACTACAGAGGGTGGCATCCCTCAGGGTGAGAAGAGGACTCGCCAGCTGAAGGCACTTTTGCACACAGCCAAGGTGCAGGACGCTGTGAGGATGGCGTGGTCCCGCTCTGCGATGCTCCTTGGTGTGGGCTCACCCTGACCTCAGCAGGAGGAAGCCAGGAAGCCAAGCCACCACCCAGGGACTTGAGGTCCACGTCTCCATCAGCAGTCCCTGCCCACTAGTATTGCATCGATTTTATGTTTCAGAAGGAAATCTGAAGTTATCTCAGTTTTTGAAGAATTAATCTCTCTGTCTTTTGGTGGGGTGGGTGTAAACATCTGGTATGTCACAATCAATTCCCAAGGACATTCACTGAGGACTGAGCTTTCTAAAGCTCAGTCTCGATCTTCTATTCTACATCAAAACAAGGTAAGTTCTTCTCAAATCCTACCATAGCTTTAAGAAAAATTTCAGTCATCAGCCATTACTCCCTCACAGCAATTCAGGTTACTTCTTCAGAGGAGGGATTCTTACAGGCAGCTGAGCTAGATAGAGATGCAATAGGCAGTCCGACTGGGCTAAATCCTGGAAGGAGCCAGCAGAAGCCCAGATACCTTGCAACTCTGGGGGAGGCAGACACCTCTGTGGGCCAGACCTCAAGATGAATCAAATGTACCCACATACTTCCTAAGGATAAACATCAGGATGTGGTATCCTAACTAGGTCTCTATCACCCTGAGGGAGCCAGGAGTCACTGTCCAAACCCCCTACAGGAAGAGTCACTGCTCTATACGAATGCCCGCTGACTCACTTTTCGTTTTATCCCTGATTTAATGTTTTACCTGAGCAGTTAATCTTACTGGTTGACCACAGTTCTGTCCCACCTCACACCCACCTTGCAAGCTCCCATTTTCCCCACCTTGGACCCATCTCACCTTGAGGTTTTACTCTGTAAATGTCCTAGAAAAGACAGAGTCTTTGGCAATCCACTCGGGACCCCTTCTGTCTCTCTCTCAGACAGAAGCTTTCTTTCCCTCAATAAGTATATTTTGCTCTTAAAAATATAATTGTAAGTGGACATTTTAAAAAAATCCCTGATTGTGACAGAAAGAATCAATATCTAAATGAAGTAATTTCTTTTTCTGTTGTATAGTAACTTCCGCCTCATGCCTAGCATTGCTAACTTCCTGCATTCCTGCCTGACCAGAGTCACAAGGAGCCACGGCAAGTCCAGGCTCAGGCTGTGCCTGTGCAGACGGGCCATCAGAGCAGGCTACTTATGTCCTGCTCTGTCCTCACCTAGGAGTCTCGGCGAATAGGTGGGAGATTAAAGTGCAAGTCTCACGCCTCCACAGGAAGTCCAGGAAGGGAGAAAAGGCAAACGCTTGTTTTTAGAAGAAGACAATTTCATTTAAAATGTCCCTATTACTTCTCAATAAAAAGATGCTGAAAGTCACCCCCAAGATCTTGAAAAGAGTCAAGTTTCACAAGCCGGGTACCAGCATTGCAAGACTTAACTCCCCAAATGAACGATGACTTCAAACACACTCACAAACTCTTTTGTACCTTTCCATTAACCATGTGTCCAGTTTGCGAACGAAAATTTTCCACCTTAGACTTTGAACCCAGATTTCTCCAAGAATCTTGGTTTCCTTAAAGAGAAGAATACAAAGAAACCAGAAACTGAGTCCAAGAAGGATAACTTAGGGTGCCATTTTATTTCAGGTTCCTTTCTCTGACCATATTAAGGCATACATATGTAAACACAGGCTCCAAATCATGAGTTGGCAGTAACTCCTTCAAGGGGACCCCAACACTACATTGCTTCCTTCAACTGACTCGACAGAAATGTGCACCCCTTCTCCTGCACTGAGCACCTGCCTGCTAACATCACCACTGTGCTTATCCCACTGCCCAACACACATTATTAACGACATCTTTAGCTATCCCATCAATACCACTGCTGAAAACAGGCGGGGTTCAAAGCATGTTTCTCTGTTATTAAAAATTTTCCAAGAGGACCCAAGGTAGTGAACTTGAATCAACTTTTGTTTTGGTAGAATAATCAGTATTATATAGGTTTAGGTTAATTTGATGGTTTGATTTTTCTGCATCTTTTATTTTTTGATTTATATAGGAATTTCAAACAATACACAAAACAATACACAAAAATATATTCATTTTTCTTTTTAGTTTCTTAACTTTTAAAATTAAAAATATACTTTATTTGTATTAGTACCTGTTTGCAGTACATAACAGTTACCTTTATCATGGAGATTTGGTAAATGTACCTTACCATCTTCCACTACCCCATTCTTCTCCAGCCCTCTTTCCATCTCTAAAGCCCCTTTTGCATTTGCAAAAGCCTTATTTCCTTGCTGCCTACTTTCTACCTTATGTTTTATTCCTTAAATTATTTATATTTGGGGTTTCTAATATAAGAGACACTATGTAATATTTAAGCTTGTGTGTCTGATTTATTTCACTTAATACTATGGTCTTAAAGTGCATCCATCTTCCCACAAATATCTCCACTGTGTCCTCCATGGCAGGTTAGCACTTCTTTATGCATAAATACCGCATGCTCCTTATCCATTAACCCGCTGAAGGACAGACTGCCTGGTCCCAAGATAGAAGTTGTGCTGCTATAAATGCAGATATGCATATTTCACTGAAATAGTATTTCTTTAACTCAGGAAGATACCTAGAAGAGGGTACCTGGGTCAAATGGAATTTTTATTTAGTTTTTTGAGGAATACCCATGTGATTTCCACAAAGGTTGTACTAGTTATATGTCCACCAACAATGTAGAAGGGTTCCTTTTTTCATCTGGCCTTGCCAGTATTTGTAACTGTTTGATTTCTTGATGGCGGCTGTTAAGAGTAAGATGGAATCTCAGTGTAGTTTCAGACCATTTCTTGAATGGCTACAGATGCTGCGTATTTTTCATCTACGTATTGTCCACTTATACTTTGTCCTCTTCTTTCCAGTTATTCATTTTTCACCGGATATTTTACTGGGAGTGTCTGTTTTTCTGAGTTCTTTATATATTCTATGTATTAGTCCTCTGTCCCAGCAGTAAGCAGAAATATTTTTACCATTCTGAAGGTTGTTTCTCCCATGTTGGTTGCTTCCTTTGCTATGCAAAAGCTTTTTAATTTGTTGATTTTAGAGTTACTTTTTCAGCAACTGAGTTTCTGTTCACAAAGTCCTTAGCCATACCTATGTCTTCAAAAGTCTTATTTTATTCACAGGCAGATTGTGTTTCTGTTTTAATATTTAGGTCTTTGATCCATTTTGACTTGATCCATTTTGGTGGCAAGAGATATGGTCCTAGGTTTAATCTGCATGTGGATAGCCAGTGTTTGCAGCATCATTTGTTAGAGGTGGTCTTTCTCCAGGGTATGTTTTCAGTTATTTTGTCAAAGAGCAGTTGGACGAATGTATCTAGGATTACATGCATTTTTAATCAATGACTTTGTAATGAAAACATAGCCTCAATTTTGGCCATCACATTTAATTTGAAAGTCTAAGACTGATTCCACTGATGATTGGGCTTAGATTTTTTTTTTTTTTTTTTGTACCAGGGATCGAACTTACAACGCCATGCTTGCCAGGCAGGTGCTTGTTGCTGAACTAAATCCCCGGCTTGCATAGGTTTTGTTTTGTTTTGTTTTGTTTTATTTCTGTTAGGTTTTTAAGCTCTTTAATTTTCCCTATTTAGCAATGCGCTTATTCACTTATTTTTGTAGCCTTACCATCTTTCAGTTCAGAAAGATTTCAACTACAATGCCTGCTGATATCTTCTTGCATCTCTTTGGTTCTTTTTTCATTTTTTACATGAAGGTCATTTTTCTATCTTGCCTTTTATATACAATATCCTCTACTTTTTCAATATTCGCCTCTAATTGATGCACGTTTAGCTCCTTCCCTTCCAAATTTTTAATACACTGTAGTAAAACCAGCTTATAAATACTGAATAAAATGCAAAGATAGCAGTGTTCCCACGTGCTTTGAAATCCTTTCTCCTATTAATGTCTTACATCGTCATGGTACATCTGTTACATTTAATGAGCCAATACTCATTCATCACCACTAATTAAAGTCCGTAGTTCAGGTTTCCAGTTTTTACCTCCTCTCCCTTTCTGTGGCAAGATTTGAGTGAGTCCTGTTAATCCTTTAGGGTCTTGAATCTGAGAGTTTCCCAGACTTTTCTTATGTTTCATGACCTTGATAGTTTTGACAGACACTAAAAGGGTGTTTTACAGAAATTTCCTCCAGTAAAATCTATCTGATACTTTCCTCATGGCTTTGCTATGCTCTGGGGAGAAGGACCAACAGGGGAAGAATGTCGCTCCCGTAACATCGTATCATGATGCACTCTACTGCCAGGACTCCAACTGTGGACACTGGCCATGGCCATCTGGCTAAGGTCCTACCTGTCAGAATACTCCTAGGAAAATCACTCAGTCCTCTCACTGTTCCACTGCATGGTTTAGTAGGAGGTTGGCTGTGGGGCCCATAAGTAGGGAATGTGGAGTTAGCTCTTGTTCCTTAAAAGCAGGATCTACATGAACTACATGGGATTCTTCCACACGGGAGACTTAACTATCCCCTCGGTCAATTCATTAACTAAGTCAGTTACTCATTTATTCAAAGGTGGCTGGATGGTGAGGGTGCCATGCTCACCCAGGGATTCACCCACTGCTGAGATCACAGTGGAAAATGCCATTAGGAGGTTGGCCTTCCTGGAAGAAGCAGGTTGCAGAAGGTGTGCTTCTGGTGTCTTTCCCCACCTCTGGCTTGTCCCTGGTTCTATGAGTCCCAGGTCCCCTGAGGGGAGCAATTTTCACCCACAGGCCGCTGCTGCCTAGGAGCCATTTCTGCCATGGACTGAATTCTCTGGAATGGTGAGCCAAAATCAACCTTTTCTCCTTTAAACTGTGCATGTCAGGTACTTTATCCAAGTAATTTACATGTGACTGATACAGGATCATAATCTTAAACTACCTTGTTTATTTTACAGTTCAAATTCTTCCATCATTTTTTTAAAAAGCAAAACAGAAAAAAGTAATAGAAAAAATTAATACATAATTTGTGCTTTGAAATCATGTGGAATTTCAAAGCAGAAAAGAAAAAAGGTAGGGAATTAACACCAGTTAATATACTGCATATTGTTTTCTCAGAACTTGTTGTTCAGGTTACAAAGTCTAGATACAAAATTGATCAATCAGACAATGACAGCACAAATTGTTCTTTTTGACGAACTAAGAGAAATTTAGAATGGATGAAAAAGATGTGGTATTTTTATATAAATTCTTCCATCTTGACTTCTCCTAGGTAAATGGCTGATTTTAGAGCCGGAGCAGAAAGTAAGCAAGGTAAGCCTGGGCCTATTCCACTGCAGGGAGGTGCATAAAAACAAAATGAAACAGAATTCCACATGATAGGCCTGTCAGAGGCAGAGTGCACGCTGTGAGAGCTCCCCCTCTGTTAGCCCTTCTCTCTGCTGATGAATTTCTTTCAAGGGACACACATTGGGCCTTATGTTTTGAGCAGACACGAAAAATTTTTTTTTCTTTTATAAATGAGTTAATTCTAGTTACATTTATTGATATGACTAAAGCATTGCAACTTTGTCAAAATTTATATTATTTATATTAAGTGATTGTAATGGTTGATATACTGTGTCAACCTGAGAAGTTCAGAAGTTTAACTAAGACTTAGCAGGGGCCCGGGATCCTTACTTTGTAAACATCCTCCTCCTGTGTAAGAGGAGGGCACACAGGTGCTGTCTACACTCGCCCTGGTATCCTACTTACAATATAAGGGAGGAGAAAAGGTTTGCTCCCCCACACCCTTCTGCTCTTGCTGTTTTTGCTGTCTTCTGCTGCCTGGAAGTGTTGCCCGAGTCCTGCCAACCTGCCTCGGAACCTGCTGATTATGGACTGAAACCTCCACATACTGCGAGCTAAATAAACCTTTCCTGCCTTCATCTTGACTGTCAGGTATTTTGTCCCAGCAATGAGAGAAAAGTAACTAAGACACTTGTGTTTACTCTTTGTCCTCCATGTATAGTGTTTATTTGTTTTATATTTTAACTTATTATGTGGGGGCTTTGTTCGAGTAATAAAATTCTATCAATATCTGTATCAAAATATATGTACAGCTTAGAGTATTTTTGCCTTATTATATGCCATTTGCTTTGTCACTTTTAGATGATATCCTGTAACTCCCATTTATTACCTAAGCACAAGTGAGGCGCCTATTTTGTTTTTCCTCTTCTCCGCTGCAGGTCCAGTTGTGAGCCATGTCCTGAAGGGTGGCACCCATACAAAAGTGGGAAATGTCCACGTGCATATCAGGAGGGACTGCATGAAGTGAACCATGTGGCATAACAAGACCCAAGAACAAAACCCAAAACATTTTAGAACTTGTCCTCGTGCCCCAGCCCTCCCACAACTGCTCTGCAAGAGCCATCACCATCTGATGCCAAGCGCTATGAATTCATTTTAGACATTTTCAAATTTCCCCTGAATGAAATTAATGTCACGTAAATCCTTTATTATTTGATTTTTTCTTTTCTCCATGGCCAGTGAGGACTGCATCCATGTCACTGGGTGCAGTCCTCGTAGGTCCTTCTCATTCTGTGCTTCCCATGAACTCTACTGCACTTTACCAATCTTCTCTCTACCAATGAGCCAGGGGGTAGTTCTCTAGATTTAAACATCAAACAAAAATTTATACAACAGGCACTGCTGTAAACAGTCTTACATGTATCTTATGAGTGCAATACAACTGAGTTCTTGATTATTTAAAGATAATTTCGCTGAATGTAAAATTGTAAGTGCACATAAAATCTATCCTAGGGTTTCTTAAAGTACTGTTACATAACTATCTGTTTTGTTGTGCTTCTAGAAAAAATATGGTGTCAATGTGATGGTATTTCCTGTGTTATTAGTAGACCTTTTTGTGAGAACACCGTGAAGTTTGGTTCTTATCTTTAAAATAAAAATAGAGTTATCAGAAGGTTTTTGGCACATTGACTACTTTAGGTCAGTTTTCTCAAGAACTTTGAGGGCCCTGACAAGTACAGATTCAGATCTTAATTCAGGTCTAATTTCTCCAAGATTACTGTATTGTGCTATAAAATATTAGACCTACATATTATATTTGACAAAGAGGCCGAATCCCTTCACTGAAGAAAAGATAGCCTCTTCAGAAATGGTGCTAGGAAAGCTGGTTATCACATGCCAAAGGTTGATCTTAGACCTCTATTTCTCACCATCCACCCAACTAAAATAAAAATCGGTCAAAAATCTAAACATTAGAACAGATACACTTAATCTGCTAGAAGACAATACAGGTAAAACTCTTGAAGACCTAGGTACAGGCAAAGACTTTCTGAACAAACATCAGTTGCATAATAAATAATACCAAGAATTAACAAATGGGAATATGTCAAATTAAAAATCTTCTGCACAGCAAAGGAGATAACCAATAGAGTGAAGAGAAAACGTACAGAATGGGGAAAAACTTTTCCAGTTATTCCTCTGACCAAGAACTATCTAGAATGTATAAAGAACTCTAAAAATTTAGATCCCCTAAATATAAAGACTCAGTACAAAATGGGTATCTCAAATGAATAACTACTTCTCAGATGAAAAATGCAGAGTCAGTAAACAAACAAAAAATGTTTGGTGTCACTGATCATTTGAGAAATGCGAACTAGTACAACACTGAGGCTCTATCTCACTCCAGAAACAACAGCTATCATCAAAAAATCAAGCAATAAGAAATGTTCGCCATGCTACGGGGAGAAAGGAACACTTCCGCATTGTTAGAACTGCAAACTGATACAACTACATTGAAATCAGTATGGAGATTCCTCCAAAACTAAAAGTAGAAATACCATTAGACCCACCTATTCCTCTTCTAGGCAGCTTCCCAAAAGACTTGATTACATAGTACCAGTGAATTTGTGCAACCTATAATAAAGCTCAGAAGCAGCCCATATGTTGAAAAGGTAGTATTCACATCAGTGAAGTCCAACTGTGCCAAACAGAAGGATAAACTTCAGTCATTTGTAGGAAAATGAATGCATCTTATGACCACAATGTGTAACACACACACACACACACACACACACACACACACACACACGGAAAAAAAAAAAAGAGAAAAAATTATGGCAATTCAGCATAATGTATCTACAAGTGTACCTTGACTTACTACAATTGTTTCACATGTTTTATGTTCTTGGGCTCATCAGTGTGGCTTTTAGTTTGTATATATAATTACTTTATAAGTTCTTATAAATAAATGATTCCGAAGTTGAGAAAGGAGAGGAAGAACTGAAATGTGTTGCATACCAATTCTCTACAGTTCAGAAATGTCCTAGTAAAAGTCAAGAAAGTAATAAAATATTGGAGCTATTTTATTATATTGATTTTATTTTCTAGAACTCTGGTTATATAAATGCTGAATTTTTCCCTGATTTCTATTTTTATTCTTTCCCTTTCTCCATTTTATCTCTACTTGATCGTGATTCTCTTGGCTATTTTGTAGTCTTTATTATATTAAATCTATTCTGCCCTAGAGACGTTTGCATTTTTTCTTTAGTTTCCTTTGAGATTGATCGATTCTCATATCCTATCTCCCTGATCTTTGTCTATATTTTTCTCAAGTTTTGAGTTGCTAATTTAAATTTTTTACAGAGCTGCCTTTGTAAGAAAATGCAGTATGTTGTAGTTTATTAGTTTTGAAAAGTTCCATTTTGTTTTACAGGATTTTCTATTTGCACTTCCTGGACGCCTCCTATAGACCTTGGTACAGATGTCTGCCAGGCTCTGTTCATTTTCGTGAGGAAGCAATGCCCCACATATACAGGCAGGAAAGAAGGACTTCCTTGCTCTGATTTAATTCTGCATATACTTTCTTTAATCAGTGGCTTCTCAGGAGGGAAAGAATGAGTCCTCATTTTTCTCTTCTATTTCAGTACAACTTTTAGTTTCTACTTTCCTTGTTGTTTCCTTCCATCATTACAAACAAACACTGTACCCCCTACCCTCACCAAAAAACCCCAAAATTCCCCCAAAACTTCCAGACTTACTTTTGAAAAAATTTTAATAACTGCGATAAATTCTTTCATCATCCAACAATTTCAGACCCATTTTAGTATTTTCTTGCACAGGGGGGCCTCGTCTCTCTGGGGATACTACGCTCAGTCCTGCAGACCACTGCTGGTCTACTCAGGCCGTCTCCACATGTGATGTGCAGGTAGCTGGTCCTGCAGGGGACAGTTCATCCCCATCACTGCACAGGAGTTTATCTTTCTTTCTGTTTCTTATGCTTATGGCTATGAATGGGTTTTTTCTCCTTATTAATGTGATTTTTTTTTCGAGGGATTGTGAGGAAATTTAGATTATGGGGCCACCTAAACGGTCACAGCGACAGCAGAAACCGTACTATCCCATTTTTATTCCCAAATGGCTAGATTTTGGGAAGATAATACTCATTTCCCTCCAATTGAAGTCACATATATATTCCTGTCCTAGCCATTTGTCCATTCTGGCAGCCTAGTCATGTAATTGATATACATTCCTCACATTCTAATATTGCAAAACTTTGAATGACTATCTATTGGTCTAGTTTCTATAACTTCCCTGGTTACTCTCATCCGACCCCTTCTGTATTGATGTTATTCACATGTTATTTGCCTTTGCATATTGTATGCACATTTTGGTTCACATTGCATGCAATTTTAATGTCTTTCAAAACTAAAGACTGGAGAAATACGAAACACTTTTAAGGATCATGGACTCTTCAGATGTAGAAATATGTTTGTTCTGGCACTTAATCCACTATGCCTACTTCTTTAAAGTTTTATAGCTTTCTTTTGAAAGATTTTGAATGTTCTGTCCACGTTCATCCTTGACACATTATAGTTAGTACAATCACATATTCCAGAGACATCACTGTTAATGGAAACAGTGTTGTTAATCCAGTGATATCTGCTAATTTTTTGTTACTGGAGAACACAGAAGCTTAACAACTGACTCATGGAAATTCTCCATTAACGCTGCTTTAAAGTGAACCTCTCTGGCCTATCGGGAGGTAATAATGAAGAAAATGACACCTATGAATGCATTGCCTGTAACTGTAAAAGAGGCATCTTATACGCGGTACCCAATTTATTTTAACAATTTATAAAGTAAATGCTTTTAACAGATCAAATGAAAAATTAAGTATTAATATTTTGAAAGGTAAAGAAATCTTGCTAAGACCACTCAGCTGTTGCAGTTCTAGATCAATGTGGAAAACAGTCACCGTCAATGACAACCGTGCCTTAGTCTCTCCTCTCTGCAGACTCTAACTGTCTCCGTGTGTATGGGTTGGGTAGCAACAACACTACCCGCAGGGCTGACAGCACACATCCCGCTTCAATCTTCACCTTAACGAAAGCTCCCACTTCGAGTGAGCTGTGCTTATGAAAACGTTAACCCTTTACAAAACCTTTGATAACCTGTCAAAGGTTATTTGCTAAGCATTCATTCTCTATGAACTGGCATTGAATTTTCTGAACTGCTTTTGAGCATATATCAAAATGGCTTTCTAATTTTATGCTTTGGTAGATTAAGATGTTAAACACACTGCACAGTGGGATTAAGTTTTCTAATGCTGAATTTTATTTGTGGTCTCCCTTCTCCCACCCCCTAAAAATTCCTATGTAGTTATATATGGTACTATGAACTTGGAAAAAAGTTTTAATTCATAGAGATATGTTACATGCTTTTAAATAAAATGGGAACATTTTTACCTCATTATGCTCCTGGAAATCTTATCTCTTCATTTATTCCACAATCTGAATTTTTTTATCATTATGTGCCAGGTCCTCTTCTGAGTACTGTTATTACATCCGTGAGCAACACAGAAAAAGATGCTACAAACTCACATTTAGTTAATCAGATAACACAAGAACTCAGGAAAGTATTGAGACCATAGAAGTATCTATGTAGGTCTTGTCCACTATTAATATTATACTTTTAATACACAATAGAAAAATGCCAGCTTGTTTCATAAAATGCTACATCTGTGGCCAAGAGATTCATTAAGACTTTTTTAGTGTGTTCTCTTTATCAAGTACGATTGGAATGACACCAGAGGTGGAATATCATTTATAAAGCTTTTCTTTTTATTTTATATTAAACATTGCATAGAACTTCTAGACCAAAATCGAGCATTTCTGAAATGCCTTTTTCCTAAAAGAAAAGTTCTTTCTTCCTAAATTTTTCAGATAGTCATTTTACTATTTCTATTTCCTTAAGTATTCTTAGGTAATATACATTTATTAAAAATCCATCCAATTCACTTATGCTTTCATATTTGTTAGCACAGATGTTTTTAGCATAGATTTTCATGTAGTACTGCTTTGCAATTGCTAATATTAGTATATTGCTGTGGTGGTGAAATACATTTCAAAGGGGCACAAAGAGGGCAGAAAAAGAAAATGAAATCTATCCTCTTCTGAAGCATTTCTGAAGGAAGCAGTGAAACCAAAAAGTTATACATAAACTGTAAAGAATATACTCGCCATTTGGAAGGTTCTTCATAAGTTCCAGGTCAACAGTTGCCCTGAAACAAAGCTACCAAATAGAAGCCCACAGTGTAAAAAAGGAGTGACCATATGGTATCACAGTCTCTCCCGGGTCCTTAATTTATGATCTAATACCAAACCGTAAGAATCACATGTCTGTACCACCCGGCGGGGGTCAGCCACACCCCGATTTTCACTCCTATATCTACCATCAACCACTCCTTGACCACTGAATTGATCTATCTACATACTGAGTTTTCAGTACCTGCATGTGTAACTACCCTGTAGAAGTCCATGTTCAGTGGCCGCTGTGCACCGGATGTAGTTGGAACACAGCCCCAGAGGCTCTTGTGTTGGAAGGCAGAGTGATGATACAAAAAAACATTAAGAACTAGCAAAGGTCAGTGAGGTTACGGGATTGCTAACCACAGAAGGGTCCCTCTTAGTTCCACAGAAAGGTTCGTCACGAAAGCCTGAGCCTGCCCCTCCCTGAGCTCACCTGTCCTGTCAACCCGCATGATCTCACTCTCTCACAAGTGCTCTGCTCTGGGTCATCATCAGAGGCAACCTGATGCTATCCAAAGGGCGTGTGCTTCCAAACTTCTGACCTACACAAAGCACTCAGTCTCAGGGAGTTTATGATAGACAAAAACTGATGAATACAGTCTCTACACAGTGATTTTATTTCTTCTCCTTAATACCCTTAAAATAGCATACTTAATTAAAAACTCAGACATAAACTCCAGTGGGACAGTCATGATATTTCTGATCTTTGGTTTTTAACTGTATCATCCACATCTCTGACAAGTCTTGAGCATTTCTGCAGGTCTTGCTCTGCTAACCAAGGGTCACTGCATAGAGAATTCACACACGTATTTATAGGCTTAAAAGAAAACTGGTTTTATAATTTCAGTCATTTTCTTCACAATCACTCTTTTTCCCGAAATGAGTAAAACACTCACTGACTGGCTAAATAATTCACTGAAACTGCCTTCAAATTTATTCCTAAACTGAAGAAATGAAAACTTATTTCGTGAATTATTTTTAGATAAAATGTCAGCATCTTCAGATTTAGTGAAGAAATTTAAAGTGTATAGTAAGATTTTGCCAGGCTTATGTATAAAATGAGACAGAATGCAGTGAAAATAAAATACTATTTTAAAAGAACCTTTTATTATCAGAAGATAAAAATAACTTTCTTTGAGGTTTAAAAAATCAGTTTGGGACATTTCACTTAAAACAACTCTCTTTACTTGCAAATGTAATTAATTTCATTTCTTGAGAACAAATAAATTTCCAGGTATAAAGAGCTATCATTCATAAGCAATGACATTTTCCTTATCAGTCCCACAAATGGGTTAGTAGAGATCATCTTCAGCGTTCATGACATTATACTAGTTCATGAGATTGCACTAATCTTTCGAATAAATGCACTAGAAGCTCTAACAGAGATGAGGATCCCTGGCAAAGAGACAGGAGCTTCCTGGTAGATGATGAAACAAAGGGAAACGTTTCCACAGAGCAGATTTGACTTTTTTATTTGGAGCCACGGGAGTCAGGGTGGAGTCTCAATTTGCTGGGTTTTGGGATCCACTCAGGGGAGTTGGTGAAACACGTTTCTGGGTGGGCTTCGCTTTGGGTACTGTATATGATCCCTGGCCCATCCCTTGCTC